CGCAATGGTCATGTGATCAAATTGTTCAAATGTGATTTGTTAATTTTTTCTCTGTCCGAGATCTCGGATCGATTTCTAGTATCGTGGACACAAGGCTTAAGACCTGGTACAAGCAGTACAGTGAACTCTTGCACTGAGTATCGCTACATCTCGAAAAAGAACAGAGTACATGACGGTCATTTCGTTACAGTGTACACAAAAAGAACGATGTAGTGTACACTAATTCTTGAACTAGTGCAAGCAGTGCAGAGAAAAAAAACAAACCTATATTCCAACCTCCAATTCTGTACTTCGATATGAATAACAAGGGGTTTGTTTGTATGCTCCAATATGTTCTAATATGCTCCTACTATAGGCCTGTTCTTTTTGGCTGAATTTTTGCACCAGTTCATCTTTTTTCCTCTTCTTTCCTCCTAAAGAGAAAAAGAAGAAAGATGAACTGGTGCAAAAGTTCAATCAAAAAGAACAGGCCTTATAGCTCCTATTCACTCCAATGCGCTTGATAGAATGAGTAGGAGCTATGGTAGGAGTATGTTGGAACATGTTGGAGCATGCGACGCGAACAAACCTACAGTAGGGTAGAATCCTAGATTTATCAGAGAGGCGCAACCGGCTTAAGTCAGTATGACAAAGGTGCTAAGGAGAGTACTAAACATGGCCGACATGCTATGAAACTGTCTTTAAACTATGTCAAACAAGATAAAACGTGTAAGATAATGTTAGATAGAATGTATAGGATAAAATGAAATAGAAATATGTCACTAGTACTATAAATGGCTGCCACGCAATTGGTCAAATTACAACAGCGAATCAGAATGCATAACACCGGTTGCGCCTCTCTGATAAATCTAGGACTCTAGTGCAAACCTGGCCGGGCCGAAAACGCTATAAGTAATGTATCAAATATCGACAATAATGAGAGAGAGGGACCGTGGGAAATGGCCAATCTCTCTCTCATTCTTTCATTACACTATTGAATGGAAAGAGATAGAAATGGCCGTCGCCCGTCAGGCTGAAGTCCCATGAGGTGTATTTACCGCGTATTGCGTAACCGCGTAACCAATCAGAAGCGATCCGCTGTTGTGGTTTCGCGTTTTACTGATTATTGATTGGTTATGCGGTTACGCGATACGCGGCAAATACGCTTCATGGGACTCCACCCTTAGTGATGCGAATTCCGGGCTGCTTGCAGCACGGTTACTAGCATGAAGAGGGCATAAGAAGTTACATACACTACGATAAGTTCATATCTGTGTATACTTGTGCATGCGTTATGTGTCCGTCTATGCTCTCTTCATGCTAGTAACCGTGCAAACGGCCCGGAATTCGCATCACTGATGGACTGATGGCCGTCTGCCAAGGTCCCTCTCAAGGAGCACAAAGTTATGAGAAAGTTTATATAAATTCATAAAACGTTTGTACCATTTATATACCGAAAAATTATACGATTAAAAAGTTAATGTCGGTTATATAACTATTTGTAGTTTTTAAAACATCTATATATACACACATAACATCAATATATGTATATTCATTAGAAATTTATATTATATAACGACCATACGACTCTACACAAAGTAATCGTTATGTAGTATTCATTTTAAGATTTTGTAACGTCTATACGATTTATTATATATGTTAACAATCTTATAATATACTCATTACAAGTTTTTAAAACGCTTATATAACTCCGTATATTTTAATTCGACTTTTAAGTCATAATATCAGGTTTTTAGGACATTTGTACAACTGCAAAAACAAATGTTGCGTTGAAATAATGTGTATATTTATAAAACATACATTGTAACTTTATGTACGTTATGTATATAACTTCATAAAGTAAAGTTGGTTATTATTATCATAATTAATCTGTCTTGTGTGTATATATACGTTCATTAATTTTAAGAGTCAAATCTGGGTAAATAAAATGGAAAGGGAAAAAGTGTTTAAGCATAGTAGTAGCTATTACAGGAGAGTAAAATATTATTTAAAGCAGCAGACAACAGC